TAGCTTTAAGTTGTTGTTCTTTGTTCATTAGTTTAAGCTTGACTGCGCCACTTTCTTGTGTGCTGCCACTGATGTAAAAGTGTAATGTCAATAAATATTATTATTAATACCGTCCTGTAAACAATATGTATATTTACATTCTTTTTTTATTATTAGATATTTTGCAACCATCTGGTGTCAGGGATTTTCGGCTCCTGTGAGTTCAATTTTTTTTCTAAATTCATAGTCCATAGTTAATTCGGTCTCATGCCAAAATTGTTAAGTACGTTAAGTACGGGGGAAGGTCAATTTTACCGGGGGACCAAGGTGAAATTCATATGATACCGATATAGGCCTACTCATTCTTCGGGTAGAGACATGGGTCTCGTCGTTTTTAACCCATGAAATATTACATACGAACGGTATCATTTATTAAGCTATAATACCATTGGTATCTATGGTCTGTAATCTTAACCATAGTTCGTAAGTAGCATAGGACTACGGTAAATCCTTAGTTTCGGGTTCATTAAAATCGCTTTACGCTATCACGGACTCATTTCGGCGACGCTGATTGGTCTGTCGAACTTTATACAGTGATGATAATAAATATTTTAAGAAAAACGTATGTCCCTCATCGGGATTCGAACCCAAGACCTTCCGATTATTTTCATACAGTGAAAACGTTGAAGCGACAGTGTAGCTATATTATGGAAATTAGGCTTTTGACTAGGAAATTATAGCGTATTAATGTAATAATAACAAAGGCCTAAGTTACACAGGATTTATAGACAGCGTCCAGGGATTTTAGAAATTACCGAAGTTTATTCTTCCAAATTAGTCCACCCTTCATGCCCACTCAAGTGCACAATTTCCCCATACAGGAAATCAGTTTAGCTTTAACGAAAAATCATTCAAGCCGCTGTATAGCCCAAAGTTACTTGCATATGAATGGCGAATTACATTCTAAATGAAATTAAAATAACTGATGATATTATTGAAGGCACATTCGTCTTATTTTCTTGTCTCGACAAAAAAAAAGTGATTTTTTTCCCCCCGCATTATTATAGTTTGAATTTAAGGTTCTCTATATTCCTTTAAATCTCTTTCGCAGCATACTGTAATGCTATGGTGCCGTTGTTTGTTTAATGACAAGTATATATGATCATAGATTCCCACGAGACAGACGTCATATTCAAGCATACCATGTCCTTGTATATACATTTTAATAATTGAATCGAAAACATGTTTGTTCTTGGCCCCATATCGCTATCAAAAGTACACCAAACACTTATAATAGGCCTAGAAGCATTACCTTCCTCCCTGTGGCCCCCTGTGCGTCCCATCATCTATTTGTGGTGTTTTCATACGGTATATAGGCCTACTATATTATTTTCCTGTAAAACCACTTCCTTCATTACTAAGCTTGGCTTGCAATTTTACATTTGGAATAACTTGACCTTAAAACACTTTCGTCGGTATCTTTACAAATCCGCATCTGTTGTAGTTTTTTAATTAAATGGAATTTCTTCCACTGAGCCAAATTCCGCTATAATAACCTAAGAACAATAGCCATTTTCTATTAGTAAAAAAGATATCCAAAATATGATCCATTTGTAGATTGATCATTTACTCTAACGTTAGTGGACTATAATCCCTCGAGTGCGTTTGCTCTCGTTCCCCTCTCACGACTCTCCCTCGACGAATAAAATTGTACAACATTTTAAAAGCAAATCAGAACAATTCTGTTAGAGTAAACGTCATAGATCAGATCCACGGAGCGAAAATTAATATTGAAGAGCAAAGCCTAATAATAATAATAATAATGTGCTGAATCGCTTCATTAATAATTCAAAATACCCTTGAGTATCTCTTAGAATGCAGTAACATTTCACGTGTCAAGCAGGTGATATACCCGAGTTGTTACCGTACTGCTGAGCTGTTCGAGAATTGGCATAGTAGCCAATTTTATAGCTCCGGCTATGGTGACACGACTACGGCTCTTGTGCGTTTCGTAGTGTCCTGCTACACGATTTCTCTAGTTCGATTCACGGAGCTCCCCTCTCCACGCAATGTCTCACGTAGGCTAGGCGTCATCAGTCTGCTCTCTATTGACTGCTGAAGTCAGAGATCACCAAGCTAGACGTCATAAACCTGCAATGATGAGGCATTCATAAGGATGCTTGTAGTTGCACTGAAAGGAAGCCATGCATTCTGTCCGAACAAGTGGCAAGATACCGCGATTCGAAATTTCCGGATGCAAACCTTAATCAGACTGAACATCCAAGGAAATAGTGTAAGCAGTTTGCGGGGAAGCCGCATCTAACCATGCGTTTTTTGGCTCAAACAATACTGTAGTTTTATCTTTAGGCCTATGTTTCTTTATATACTTTATTCATGTATTTATCTTTGTGTTTCAGGTGACGTCAGACCGTATGATAAAATGTTTTGACTGCCGTAAAAATCAGATGGTTTCATTCGTGGATAAACTTTATTCGTTTAGCATCTCCTAGTTACATTGTGGAAGTTACCGTGCCAACCAAAGTACAAACTCTTAAGAGCATTGTACATTTCCGTGCGTATTCAATACGTCATCACGGTCTAGTTTTCATCTCCATCATACCTTATTAAGTTGAATTCAAGACATTTGTGATGGTAAGCCACGGAAACAAACGCAGTATTTTACGATTTTCATTCGTCGCTATTTTGATGGTAGCATCCGGATCATTTATGTTTTCTTTGGGCCTATTATCAGGTCAGCACATGGGTCCGTCATTTAACTCTCTCGCGAAGGAAATACAGAGGAAAGATGCCCCAATCATGTTACCTCAGGTAAGAGAATTAACCGATAGTTATTTTGTCATAATATAACCAAAACAACGGTGCAATTTAGCCTATATATTCACGGTTGATATTAAAATGTAGCAGGAACCAGAAGGCATTTGGTTGTAACGCACACGAGGTAACGTGTTACTTAGAATCATGGGCACACGCAATTAACCACGATATAGGAACCTAATCACTTCCTTAGTTTGTATTGTTCTTCGTGGTATATTCTAGTCATTAGTGGTGAAGTTAGGCCTATATATATATA